TAAATGTTGCATCTTTGATATCAGTGAAACATGTCCTATTATTAAGAAGCTTCTGATCCCAGTGATTACAGGAAATTTAAGTAACGAAAATCCGGCGAATAATGTGATCACGATTTGAAAAAATCGGTACCTGCTCTATAGGTTTGATACCAAGAGCCAACAGATCTATTTGCAACCGCCGGCAGTAGGGAAGAATGAATTCGGATATCACTCCAGTCAAGTATAGGGGAATTTAGCGTGGAACTTTAAAATTATCGATATGTCAAGGAAATATGTTTTTGAGAACGATAATTTTCACGACCCGTGAAATGTACCCATTGCGCCGTTACGTTCAATTGGTGTTCTGCAGTTTGTGATATTTTTCTGGATATAAGCAGGACATAATTGCCTAAGGTGCTATCAGAGCGTTTTACAAAATTTGGTATTTGCGCAAGAATTATGGTGGGTTGAAATGCTTACTACTTGTGCTCAACTTCTTGATATTTTAAGAAGATCCTAGTGGATAAAATCGAAAAAGTGGATCGTTAACACCCTGTGGTTTTAGCACGCTGTAAGAGTTTCATTTGGAAATAATAAAAAATGAAACGTAAGCTGTGAAGTGCAAATCGGTTTTTGGGCGAAATTCGTCTACTGTTTCGTCCTGCCAGTCCAAGCGACGCGACGCTGCGTTCCGACTAAGAAAAATATGTATTCAATTAATTTGATATCTTTCCTAAAATTAATTCAAGAACTCAAATTACAATTCGTTTATTCATGTCAGTCACTATGTTTACAAGGGTCATGTGGTACATGGTAACAATTGAATGAGGGTCATAAAAATATATTATGCCGTCAAAATAAGAGGAAACAGTTAGGTAGTTTTTGCAAAGCAATAAACAGCTAGGCTTATACCTGGATTAAGTACCTTTCTTGTCTACTGTAATAGGTAGATGGAGGCGATGCTGCCAGAAATGGATGTGTGCGATCAATAAACAAACCACAAGACTGAACTGGGGTGTCCAATGATTTTTGTATTGACTTTTTTATTGCGTTACTAGAAAACTCTGTTGGGTATATGATGGAGTTTACTAGAACTTTACAACTTGTTGTCTGCCTTCTTCTACAAACTTCACCAAATCGAGACGCTGTCAACCTGATACTCCGATGAAGGCGCGACAAAGTACAGTCCTGTGATTTGGTGACTTGTTCGATCTGCAAAATCTCGTCGTCACTTTTTTTAAGTTACCTTAAACATTTTCGAATAGCAACCTCCAAATCAATGTAGTTAATGTCAGGTTTTTGATTGATTTCGCCATAAAACTATACATTTTCTTTGGACTTGCTATCCGAATTGTTAGTTATTTTTATATCAGCTTTCTTTGGTATGAGTTTCTTTTCAAGATTCTTGCGTTTGAGTCTTTGTTCCATCTTAGCGATAAGCGAGGTTGGACTAAGCTTAGAACGCAAATGTATTTAGACCACATATACAAGCCGCTGGGTATTGTGGCTCACTACAGCTGCAGCACATCTTCCATGGTATGACCTCTTCTTGCAATCATTTATTCGCTTACTCCAATGTATTTTGCGATTATAGAGTTGAACTGCTCCACACTATTGTTGACCTTATCATGAATTAAACTCACTGCATTCGTAATTAAAATGGAGGCATATGACCCTTTATTGTCCATTATCAGCCTTGATAAAAAAAAGGCGCTCAAGGACAATCACACCAACAACAATTCAACAACACAATATCGACGAACAGTAACAAGGGGAGAAAAATACTAAATAATCACTTGCTGAGTACCAAAATAAGAAACGATTTTCATTCTAGATCGCTAATCGAAATCCGACTCTGTTATTATAAAAATTTGCCTTGGTATGCACCCGCAGTCATCCTTTCCTCTTTTAAAGTAGCGCCGACGACAGTCTAGGCCCCGCCCACCCTCGTGGATTTTGCGCCGGCTTATCGGGCCAGAATTGTGCTTGATTATTTAACCAAACATCAAGTAAATACCATTGAACAAGCAGATCCACCTAACATGGCTCCGTGCGATTATTTTCTCTTCCCAAAATTCAAATTACCATTTCGGGGTAAGAGATTTCAGTCCATAGATGACATCAAGCAGAATGCGACGAGAGAGCTAAAGGCCATGCCTTTGGCGACTCACCGGCGAGTGGGTGAAACGCTGGCACATGTTTGTTGATACAAATTGGATGTTATTTTGAAGGCGATAAAATAAATTTGACTGAAAGTTAGACCGTTTTCGTTTTATTCTTAAATTCCCGGTACTTTTTGACCATAGCTTTTTCGGTTGAACTCAAACTCTGCAAGAATTCTGCTTTTCGATAGAACCAGATGAAAACCAGTTTTTGTTGCCGAAGGAATGTTACTTTATTTTAGTGCTTATGTGGTTAGCTCAATCCTAAAAATAGGTTAATGTTTCTGCTTCCTTAAATTCGTTCTACTTAATCAAATATGCGCGATAACATAAGTCGTAATATTCTCGTTACTTCTTTTTATTCGACTGTTTTGTATTCTATCCTTGGAAGTTCTGGACTGCAATTTCCTGCCAACAGTGACTCATTTTCTGGAGTATCGCCGTTTTCGATCACGATTATGTACTTGTTTGCAAAAGCCAAGGTCAAGGCGTAACCTTTATTGTCAAAAATAGTCTCGCATTATCATTCATACTTGCCATAAGCGACACGCAAGTCTGCTACGTGTGGAACATTAGAATTTTAATGGGATTACAAGCAGCGTGCCATAAAAACTTATTCGCAAAACCTTCACTGATAAAGACATGCAATTTTCATAGACATAGAAAAGACACCGCAGAAACTTTATGGGGAATGATTTTCGGCTAATTTCTTTTTAAACTTATTCTACTTATCCGGAAATAAAAGTTTGTTGGCCAAGTAATTCTTGCTTGCTGAGCCAAAGGTCGTGGTAGGGACAGGTGAGAGAGCAGTTTGGGCAGGTTGATACATGTTTCATGTTTAAATTTAGTATCTACTTCAGGTTTGAGGCCCCATTTTATTTGGAATTAGCATGTTGTGTGATGGAAGACGTAGAACAAAAGAGTCCACTGACCCAATTTTTTTCCACGGGTTGTTCCCGACGTACAGGCATCCAAGTTGGACAGTGCGTACCCATTACAGCATATGGTAGGTTCGGTATATGGTATGCAGTAAATATTTGATATTTATTTACGTTCTTATTATCATCCCTGGTACTGAATCACGAACTCCTAATTTATTTGTGTCAACAGTTGAATATTCATAATAAAGGGTTTTCCATTAAGTACTTGAAAACTTATTTTTTAAATAAAACGCAAACCATTTGAGATATCTTGAAAATTTTATTATTGGATTGAAGTGAAATCAAAGCATTTATGTATGGAATTCGGCCTCGTTCATATGTCCACCTCGGGCACGTTCGCAGCGATCGATTCATTGAACCCAATTTTCAATGACTCGGCCACACATTTCGACAGAAATGGCCGCTATCTCTCGTTCAAAATTGGCTCTTTGCTCCTCTAACGATGCCAGCTTGTTGGCATAGACTAATAATTAAATTTGTCCCACAAAAAAAGTCTAGAGGTGTTAAATCACACGATCTAGGCGGCCATTCGACAGGACCATCCAGCATCGAATATGTGGACTCAAATTTGTTTACTAGGCTATGAATTGCTTGTCTACTGGGACGAGAATAACGACCAAAAATTGGCGTGAACGCCCTTAAAGTTGCAGTCAACGGGTCGGAATTGCGGTAGTAAATTTTAATTATTTGTGAGCGTTGTTCGTTCGTGTACTTCACCATGATGAAAATGTCTTTTTTACTGAATGTTTTGACATTGACAGTTCAATAATTGATTTAAAGGTGCATTCACACTGGAGGTTCCAAGTTGTCAACACCCTATTGGAAAACCCGATACCTTCTACTTAGACTAACCAATGGAAGTGCTGCATAAAAAAGAGCATCAAGTAGGTTGACTCTGCACTTCCCACAAAATGTATAATACAAGGAAGAATAAAATGGATCAAGTGAGCCAACAAAATCCTATACAATTAGTTTACAATCCCCACACATTTGATAACGCTCCGATCTAAAATGTTCTTCCCTGCCATTACTGAAAGTACCGACCATCTGGCAACGTCAGCCAAGCTGTGCTGGACAGCTCGAGCAGTGTGGCGGTGAGGTTAGGCGGCAATGACAGGCGCAGACACGATTTTATGCGCACCGGTGTAAGTTCATGGCGTACGCAGTGCGACATAGACGCGACATGTTTTTTTCCAGTTTTAAGAGCAAATCTAGCGAAAATTTATAATCTATGTATTAAAAGGTGCGTAGAATTAGCGGGACTGGAAGCGTATCAGTATACTACAGGCAAAACTCTGAGATATACTCTCAGCAATAAATTTCCAAGTTACAGAGGGGTCAAGGATCAGCGGATAGACCGACAGACAGACGAACCGGTAATATTCAAAAAACATAATACATCATTTTCGAAATATTCCGCGATTACAATGGATGGCGTGGGAAGCGAAATGTAAACATACCTTAACTGCGTTGTGCTTAATTGTGAAACGACGAGACTTACTCTATTTACAAGGAGTGTAAGCAAAATTTTCAAATTTTTGAGAATAAAATGGGATTATTTGAACGTGGTTGAGTTATGATGAGAATTTTTCAGCAATTGGAACCAAAAAGCTCCCATGTAAGATTCTCATTTATTCGACGATATGTTAACTGATACAAATACTCCATCTAACTGACATGACTAGTAGGTGGTCTGAAGTTCTTCTATTGTACTTTTGTGCTTTTAACAATTATGCTGGCTTTTATAGTTAACGTTACATTAAAACAGACAGATTTGTGAAACATCGTTAATTTGGGATTTGCACACACGATTTCAATCCAGCCAAAGTTCGTGACACTTCGGACGTTGCTAGTTTCCAGTAATATTTTTTGGTGATTAGTGCCTTCAATTAATTTAATGAATGATTTTTTATTGCAGTATGTGGTGAAACAGCCGCTCTACGAGCCGTTTTGGCAGCTGGAGCTCCAGTTTCAACCCCCGATGTGCACGGAGGGTATCCATTGCATTATGCTGCTCAAATGTGTGGTGAGGTAAGTGCACATGAGTAATAACCTAAAAACACAAAATAAGTTTGTGGGAGGGTAGGGTTAGCATTTGATGGTACGAAACAGTTCTACCTTCAATAAATCTAATATTTTGAAAATGCTTCTAATTTAGTTATTCTTGTGATGAAAATAAACTACCATGAGATACAGTGTTCAAGTTCGTTTCTTCTAATACCGATATTTTCAATTTCTGTTGAATACTTGGGTGATTTAGATGATGCTCTGCGAATCGACGATATGCCTTAAGGCATCAACCATTGCGTTCTCAAAGGGGGTGTGTATTGAATGTTTCCACTACTAACATATATATATATATATATATATATATATATATATATATACTCAATTTCAATAGAATTAGATATCTTCATTTGTCAGCAATATTTTACCTACTAATACCTAAAACATTTTTTTTCCAAAGCAAGTCTGACAATAACTTCTCAGGAGAGGTGACTCAAGTGAAACCACTACACCTTATTTAAAAATGCAATAGATGTTTCAAAAAGGCAGTGGCACAAAAAATAAAAATTTGGTGGTCAAAATACCCCAATCTCTACGTCACTGGTGCAGTTTCTGGAATTAAATCTTTTGTATACAGGTATATTGGCTACAGTGACACTACACTACATGTACAAGATTTTAATTCGTTGCCCTATTACATCCCGACGACATATTTTTTTCGATTTGAAAATTATAACTTTGACACCCTGTATGTGGTTAAGGGGTATTATGGGACCCAGTCTTAGATGAACTCATTTTTAATTTTTTTCACTACGTCTCTCATCATATTTTCTTAATTTTTTCTATTTATTACTATAAAAAGTTGTCATAATGGAGAGCGTCCAATTTTGAGTATACTCTGTTTCTATCTATGCTTTTAAAAATGCAATGGAAGAAGGTTGAAAAATCATTCAGTGGATCCAGGTTCCGAGGTTTTGATACTTTTATACCTTATAACTTGCGGTGCTAATGCTGAGTCAGCAGCGCTGGTGAACTCATATCTTCAAAATCGTAGTCAACAAGCTGGACTTTTAGGCAAACTATCATCTATCAAAATTGTATCGTCGAGGGTGCCTCAGGGATCTATAAGTGGGGTAACATTGTTTGCTATCTACACTTCACACGCTGACCATACTCAGTTATACTAGAAATTTAAAGTTGACCATGTAAATTTTGCAGAGCAAAGAATTGATTATGACTTGTATAATCTTTCATGTATATTTAAACAATATGCTTTATTATTAAATCCGAAAAGGTCCAGTCTTCTTTTGTTTGGCCCCAATCGACAACGTTCCAATTAAACCATTAGAAGGAGGAAATTCGGATTTATTAGTATTTGAACTATGACACTAAGAAAACTTTATGTAAAAGTCTTGTACTGCCACAGTCTCGTACCTGTGACCGATGTACCGCATAGCAGTTTGGATGTAGAAAATCGTAGAAGAAAACAAATTGTTCAACAATTTTATATTAGGTTCATTCATGACATCAAAAAGATATGCTCACATTTCCGAAAAAATTTTAGAAACTAAATGGATGAATATGAAAAGCAGATTCAAAATGTCTGCGATTGATTTATATCATAAAACAAAAAGTTACCCACCTACCTGGATAAGAAATTAAATTTAGATCAGAAGTTCTCACTAAGGCCCGTATCGTCAGTCGTCCCTACAATTGTAGGGCGCCTTTATGGCCTCCTTGATTGTCAGTTTTCTACTTCTCCGTGTCAGTGCTCTATTTTGAGGTTATGTCACAAAGATTTATTTGCATCAAATGGTGCTTGCTTTTGAGTGATATCATGTTTTATCAGCCTGAAATTTCCTACAATTTAAAAAGAAAACATATCTATACAATAGGAGAGCGCTGACGCTGACACGGGACAAGTGTAATCTAGAAATTTTTGAAGGAGAGAAAGAGGTATGACAATCAAGGAGGCCATAAACGCGCCCTACAATTGTAGGGACGACTGACGATACGAGCCTAATAATCCATGAAACCACTATACAGGGTGTTGCTTAATGATATGCGAAGATTTAAGGGCGTGAATCTACATGAAAAATTAATGTTAGTTTGTTTTATAAACTGTTCAAAAGTGTTACAAAAACTGGGGGTGTTGAAGTTTTAGTAAAAAAATGGAAATTAATATTTTCAGAACCGGTTCAGATATTCCACTGATATTCAGTACGTAGTGAAACAATAAAGTTGCATATTTTTCAATGCAAAAATAATTTTTAGCTTTAACAGTGGCGTGCGTACGGGTATTGACTTCGACATCTTTTAACCTGTTAAGTGGCCCAGGATAAACAACCATAGGCTTTTCTAGATGGCCCGTAATTTTATCGCATGCGGACATATCCGTCATCAGCACTGACTATATTCACTAGCGTATATATACGTCAATAGCATTAAAATTCGACAATAAAACTGAAAGGCGTATATTATCGTCAAAACAACATAAAAATATTGAACTGGTATCTAAAGAAAAGTAAAGGGGAAGGCTAACTTATAACATTGCATTGAAGGTGCACCAGTTTTCTCATTCCATTCTTCATACCTAGTAAGAAGAGTTGCTGTTAAAATGATAGATAAAGAATAAATCAAAACTTACTTATTTTTTTAGCTTTTTTGTTACTTGGTATGGAAAATCTCAAAACACGGTGCGGGACACAGACCAGTATGGCATTTTTGGCACCAGTAACGGCTTTCCTTTCTGATTTTCTTTTCAGCACATATTGCACACCTAAAAAACTGATTTAAAAAAAATGCCTTCTGTGATACAACAGCTTACCTTTTTGTTGGTTTTTGTTTCGTAGTATGTGGTATAACCGACGGAAAGTGACGTTCAATAAATCTTGATGGCATTGGTGTCTTGATCTCCTTGTTCCGAAAGTTATTTGTGAGCTATATTTTCTAACTATTTGTTCTCCCAATTCTAACAAGAAATTTATCCTTTTCAGTCGGCCTCCATTTCGTTTGTATATATGAAATGAGTTTAGCGTTGTTACACTCAAAAAGTGCCAGAACATTTTCATGTAGTATTTTTTTACTCTACTCCTTGCCGTTCCATAGTAGTGAAAATAATTATCGGCTAAGTCCACCCCGTCCATTTTTTTATTGTACTCTAGTACACAAGTGGGTTTCTCAATTTCACCCTTTTTAGTTAAGACCTTTTCCATAGTTTTATCGTGAAGGGTAGTTATCATTAACACATCCTTCTTGTCATGCCATTTTTGTATCATAATTTTTCTATTGTATCTAGCAACAGACTGTCCTTTAGATAATTTCACTTGTAAATCTTTAGGGATACCTTTTCCGTTTGCTCGAATTGTTCCCACACAGTCTGTTCTTCGTTTTACGAATTTGTGAACCAAGTCAACAGTTGTGTAGTAATTGTCTATAAAAAGTCGGTACCCTTTGTCAAGTAGCGAATCAACAAGGGATAAAACTATCCTTGATGTAACTGGTTCCTGAGAATGCTGTGCTTCATAAATCGTATCAGCACCTGTATAGATGATAAAATTATACATATAACCAGAAGTTTCACATAAAGCGAATAGTTTGATGCCAAACCTCTTTCGTTTAGAAGGTATGTATTGTTTCCAGCCCAATCTCCCTTTCCAGCCAATCAGAGACTCGACTATCGCGATGTCCCTTTCTGGCACATAACTGGTCATAAATTTCTCCCTTAAATGGTTTAGAAGTGGAAGTACTTTGGCAAGTTTGCGATTTTTTGTGTTGGCATTTATTGTTGAATTATCAACAAAATGCAAAAATTTCAATAACAAGTGAAATCTTTTCTCGGAAATAATTTTCGAAAAAATGGAGTTTCTATACTCTCTCTTCGAGAGAAATACATTTTGTATTCAGGCTTAGGACATAATCCCTGTAATATCAATAGGCCTATAAGCGTCCTAATTTCGTTGGTATTCGTTTCTTTCCATTGGCATACTCTAGAGTGCGGTCTTATGTTTTCTCCATTTTTTATAATATATTGGATAGCAAATCGATTGGTTTCTTCAACTATAAGGTTTATTAGACTTTCATCAAAAAAAATTTAAAAAATGTCCAAAGGGTTGCTTTTAGCTGGTACCTGCACGCCACTGTTCGATGTAAAAGGAAATGCTGGTCTGGGGATTCCATTTTGGGTCCAGGGCATTTCAAAGTCAGGTTCGGGCTCAGGCTCCGTCTCATCATTAGTATCTTCTCCACTGTCCTCATATTCCGATTCGCCCTCTGTCTCGTCCGAACTTGTATAGCCATCCACCTCGTCCGCCTCGTCGCCACTAATATCAATATCCTCAGAGTCATTGTCTTCTAAATTAGACATTTTGTATATATATTCAAGAACACTTCCTTTTCCTGCACAAACGTAGTGGAATACTAAACGTAATAATGTCGTAATCAGCCACACGGTAACACGCCTAAATAACGACTGAGCGGGAAGAGATTCCACAAAATAATTCCGCCGCATAGTTGGATTAGGATTTTGTTTACCAGTAAACTACAGCAGGCGAACGTACACGTCTTAACCATTGCGGGCTACCAAAAAATAGCCGAAGCGAGAATATCCGTCATAAGCATTGATTGTAATATATAGGTTTGCGGATATATACGTCTTAACCACTTAACAGGTTAAGAAAAAAATGGTACGCCAATGGTTTTTTGCCAAATAAAAATTATTTTTAATTCCCCCTTCAATTTAAAACAAATGATCTTTTCTAAATCGTTTTTCGTCGATGCGCCATTTTTGAGTGAAAAAATAAAAACCGTTCTATTGTCTAACTTGCAAAATTAATATTAATTTAATTGGAAAAATTAAACACATTAGGGGTAATGAACAACAACTGATAACATAAACATAACATTAAAACCAACGAAATGATTACAAACATTGTTGAAAATGGCCCCATTCACTTAGTATGCATGCTTCCGCCCTCATAGAATTGCGCACTCGTTGAAATACCCCTGGAGTGCTTTTTATTCTA